TTCCATCAAGTTGGAATAGAGCCACAGGAGGGTGCTTGAGCCAGGTAGGAACCCTGCGCCACCTGATCCTGCAAATGGTCGAAGGTGGTCATAGAGATTGGCCAAATAATCCCCACGCCTCTGGGTGAGGCTACTGTCCTAACAGGGGGTGGGATCTTGCTCCACTCTTCGCAGTGGTATCCTTACGGCCCCTGTGGCCGACAACCGCGTTGTTCCTGGTCGCCATCACCACCGCCTACGCCTCTAGATTTGAGCTTCCCCAACGTTGGTAATGGAGAAATCACGGGAAAGAAGAAGGCACATAGCCTACAATTTCCTTCTCCTTGGTTTATAAAGACACACGTGGAACGTGAAGCTACGACATACTCCCCCAGGGATTGCCCAGAAATAGGATGACACATGGAGCTCTAGCATAAGAGACGAGGGATAGACTCTCGTTGTGTCTTAGACTGGGCCACGGCCTGGTGAGACGGGATCCTTTGGAAATCTCGGATGAGCGCGACCTTTTCATCTTGGCTCTTTGACAAACATCTGTCCCAAATTAAGGAGTGGTCGGAAACCACGACAACACACATCTATGGGTCCCCAAGCCCGGAAACGGCGCCGGATGGTGGACCTCAGAGCGATCTCATCACGGGAGAAGCCACAAGAGCTCCGTGGCACACACCTGAAGATTCTTGAAGCCGGACCCAGGAAAACCACACGTTTGGCAAGCCCGGAAACCCATGCAGTCAGGCTCATGAAGGAAGGCCACAACCAGGAGGATCCCATCTTGGTTCTCACTCTTAAAGATAAGAAGAATCCAACTCCAAACACGCTTGGGGGCTACTGACGATGTAATACACCAGGAGTGGCCTGCCTTCCTTAGGGCCCGGGTGGCCCAGTAAAGGTCCGGCGTGAGGGGAAGCACGAAGACCAAGACAAAAGACCAAGATATTATCTTGGCATGCAAACCAAGATGGCGACAATGTGATATCAACTGGGACCCCATGTAAACCCTAGCCCTGTCACTTATGTAATGTGGGGCTAGGGGTAGTCATAGGCATCTACAAGGTAGACATACTCTCGGTAGCTATATGCATTGTCTCCACTGTAACTCCCTCGCAGTAGGTGCTCGACCATTAATCCAAATCCAAAGAAGGATGCAGGGTGTTACCTCACATGAGTGCCTGAGTCTGGGTAACCTCCTTGTGCGAACTTCCTTCTAGTACGCCTGTCCACATTTGCCACCCTACTGAGGTTATTGGCGGTTTTCCGAACGGTCGTCCGGTGAGAAGGGAAGTCCCACCTACACTTGGAGGTGGCAAGGAGCACGAGCCGCCGAATGGGGGCTCACAACAACATGGCGGGAACTAAAAATTGGATAAGAGAGATTTGAAGCAAAGTGACGTGAGCAGGCTAACACGCGTAAGACGACGCACATAGCCGAGAAGTCCGTCACCGCACTCACCCCCGACCTGCATAGGTCTGGTCCGACCAGATCTAGCACCCATGCATCTGCCCACATGATGGTGGCTCGTTGGGACCTTATTGTGTGCAAAAAGCCCCGTTGTATCTTGTGTAGATGAGGAAACCACTTCACCCCTTCCTCGAAAAGCAAGTCGCACGCTCGTCGATGTCGACCGCCATGGCGTTCGTGTTCACCTCGAGCTCCCCCTACCACCTTCTAGGGTAGGAGCGGCCGCCACCGCGTCATGTCCAATGGTAGCGTATTCTTCGAGGGAGGTGGGGCTGCGCTAGGGTTGCTTTGAATTGCTTTCTCAAGTGACTAGTTTAGCTCGGTTTGAGATAATCTAGTGAAATGGCTGTAGTTGGAAGTATGCTCGGAAACTCGCAGGGGCATGCAGGTGAAGGAGCACGTGCTTGTCTAGCCTTGCCGGGCATCCGATTGCCTCGTGATTCGCAAAGTCGTTGGACCCCGCACTAGGGCACGAGTCTTGTTTATGAAACTTACGATTTTGTTCGCTCATACCAAGTTTCAGCAGTTGAAACTTAAGGAAGTTCTAGAAACTCGTCAAAATGTATTCAAGATGGATCACGTTTGAGAAACGTCCTCACAAGAACCATGAATATATGCAAACGAAACTTAATTTGAACTTTTGGTTCAGAAAGATATAATTCATTGAAAATATATAGAAAGCCAAAAGAAAAATGGATTGCGTGCCCCCGCCCCTGCGTGCTGCTAATCCGCCCCCACTAGCTATGCCGTCTTCATTTCGTACAATTTTCCTTTTACAATAATTCTTAGTTGCGCATTGTGTGCTTGCCTGGTTTCTGAAGCTTCAGTGCGTAGGTGCAAGAAAGAGTGTGTTACACCAATTCTTGGTTGCGTGCTTGCATGGTTCCTGATGCTAATACGCAAGCCCATCTAAAACACAAGTATATATAGCGAATCGCAACAGAGGGCGCCCCTTATGAATTTTAATACTTAAGTATATACTAAAGATGATAGATTAAGCAGCAGTGCCGTCGATGATCCCGCATTCCCGCTAGCTAGTAGAAGTTGATCCAGGAAGTGTAGGTGGCCCCGAACCACCAGTTGGAGGGGGCGACGTCGGTGGCGGTGGCCTCGCGGCCGTCGTCGAGCCTGACCCTGAAGGAGAGCCTCTGGCCGTTGAGGTAGGCGTTGCTCTGCCAGTTGGCGCCCCAGTTGCGGCTCATGGCGAGCCAGTTGGTGTTGGAGCCCTTGATCCACATCTGGGACACGACCCCGCTGCCGCCGACGTTGGTGACCACCACCAGCTCGAAGTAGTCCCTCCCGGAGATGCCGAAGCGGATGCCGTCGCGCTTCTGGCAGGAGACCCTCCTGTACACGACGGGGACGATGCCGGCCTGGTAGATGGCGATGCTGGTCCAGGCGGGCTGCGACATGTCGAAGTGCACGCGCGGCGGGTTGCACCAGCCGCCGTTGTCGCTGGGGAGCGCCCAGTTGGGCGGGCAGAAGTTGGTGGCGGAGACGGTGATCTGGGTGCCCGGCTTGCACATCCTGCTCCGGCCGGTGTCGCAGTAGATGGTGTAGCACGCGCCGCACATGGCGCCGTCATTGAAGAGCGCCGTGCTCAGCGCCGCGTTGTTGATCCCGTACCCCGAGTTGTACAGGTTGCCGTACCCACACGCGCCTCCTGCATACATACATGGAGCATACATATGATACAAACATCATCAGATCAACATCACTTCTCCTTAATTTGGATGAGTAGAGTATATCACACCAAACGTAGTACTAGAAAAATCTACTCTACCCTTTTAAACACACTTCACAACTAGAGATTTAGACGTACGTTATGCACTCTCCACCGGGGAATGATACAGGAAATTAGTAAAGAAGCGGAAGGGAAACTGACTTACCCATAGTGCCGGAGCCGTCGCCGCCGCCGTAGAACGTCGCCGTGGCGGTCGTCCAGTAATACTGGGCGTCGACCCCATGAGAAGCTATTCCACAGAGCACACCGAGAAGCACTAGTGCTACTGCTGTCTGCTTCCCCATTGGATTGCTGAAGATGACAGACACAGCGCTGTAGTACTTGGGCCGAGCAAGTCTTCTACGAATATGCTGTGCTCTGTGTACTGTGTATCTACTGCACCCTGGGCTTTATAGTATGATGATGAGCATGCATATCCTCCAACTGTTACAGTTGTAGTTGGGTACTCGGGTTAACTTAGCCGCCATCCATCCTTCCTTATTTGACTTTTGGCACATCAAGTTTTTCAAACTAGTAAGATATATACTCCTGACGTGTTCACCATGTTCTTGAAGCTCCAAGAAGTTTAACTAGGCGTCGACAAATTCCTGCACTGTCAGTGCGCATGTGCCCTAACTGAGATCCACACCACCGTGCATGTGAGAGAATCATTTGCGCTGAAAAATTCAACCAGAACAAGATGGAGGAAACAAAGAGTCTGACCAAATTTCAGAAAAGTACAATACGTGCAATTCTATTGCAGCTATAGGAGGATAATGAGATGCTTGAATGTCCTAATTTAATGA